CTGGCTGGGGAATTCTGGGAGTTGAAGTCCACCCATCTTAAAAGTTGTTGAGGTTGAGAAACACTGGCCAAGTGAGAAGGCAGACATTCATTCATTCACAATGAACTTATCTCTTGTCCTTTCTTTCTTTTCTTTTTAGGAGGATCCTGACCAGGTTCCCCCAATTGATGTTCTCTGGATCAAAGGTAGAGAAGGGGGAGATTACTTCTACTCCTTCGGAGGCTGTCACCGTTACGCGGCGTACAAGCGTTTGAACAAGGAGACCATTCCAGCTAAAATCATCCGGTCTACGCTCAGCGACCTGCGTACCTACCTGGGCTCTTCCCTCCCCGATTTGCGATAGGCTTTTTCCCGGCCACCCGATTCCAGAGCATCCTTGGGCCCTCTGAATCTTGGAACGGAGACAAGGACTGGTCTTTCTCTCCTTTGCCAGACGTTCAACAATGAGGACTAGCGGCCTGGTGTTATCCCTTCCGCATCTTGGTTGGACGTAGGATGGCCCAGCCTATAAGAGCCCTGAGCCGTGAGAGGGACGGCCTACTCAGTTTATGGGGGGGTTGGTTCCTGCTTGTTTGGGAACTGAGATGAGAAAGGGCTAAGCTGGCACTTGGTGTTAAATCACACAAGTAGAATGGTCTACCTTTGTGGCCGTGCAGACTGGGGGAGATGGGAGTTGTAGCCCAACCTGGTCAGAAAGGCACAGGGTGGGGAAGGCGATGAGCGAAGAGTGGAGAATCAGAGGACATTGCACTGCACAACAGCGAAGGCTAGATGGCAGCAAAGAGGCACAGAGAAACCCTCGCTCTCTGCTGACATCTAGAGGTCCTTTGGATTTTCCAAGGCCAGGTTTGGGAGCTCTTGGTCAACTCCAGACTTACCTCGCAGGCTGCTTCTTGGGGGAAAATGGGAGAAGGGACTGCCGTGTCTACCTGCCTGAGTTCCCCAAGGAAATCTGGGATTTAAATCTAGGAAGCTTTCAGCGTGCAGGAAGGAAGTTTGCAAGGGAGCTGAGAATACAAGGCACTCTCAGGGTTGAACCACAGCACTGAGAACTCGGAAGCTACTCCCAAATACCCCGTTTAATCTCAGCTTGCTTTTCCTTTTGGATGTAGGTCAATCACAACATGTATTCTTTTTTTAAAAAAATATTTTACACTATTTCCAAACTTGCTGATTCTGTTTATTTTGTAGGTTTGCAAATTTGGGGATAATATATATTTCTGAAATGATTGAATAAGGCCAGGGCTTCCGCTTGTAGCTGGGAAGGGCAACAACGATGCTTTGGTGGTGCCCGCTTCAAAATCTCCCCTCCTCCCACCCCCTTCCTCAAAATCAGCCCCAAGAGCCAGCAGAAGGCCAGAAGGAAGCTTCTGCAGAGACTATCCATCAGTTCGCAAGGCATTGCGGGTAAAATAAAATAAATAATAGCATGGAAAATTAAGTCTCCTGGGATAGGTAGGTGGATTATAGGTAGTCCTCACTTAACAACCATTCGTTTAGTGACCGAAGTTACAGCGGTGCTGAACAAAGGGACTTACAGCTGGTCCATGCACTTAAAGTGCCGTAGCACCCCTGCGGTTACATGATCGCAATCCGGGCGCTTGGCAACAGCTCACACGACAGTTACAGCGTTCCGGGGTCTTGTGACCTTCCCAGCCGGCTTCCAGCAAGCAAAATCAATGGGGAACCATGTGATTCACTTAATGACCACTACAAAAAAGGTCATAAAATCGGGCATGACTCGCTTAATAACCACCCCACTTAACAACTAATTTTCTGGTCCCTATTGTGGTCGTTAAAAGAGGACTACCTGTAATGGATGGCACGAGCGGGGAAGATTCTGGAATGGAACTGCAAGGTTGTCAGGAGGGGGGAGAGACACTCCGGGGCAAGCGCCGCCTCGGCCCGCAGCAGAAATGTGGGAAGACGAAGAGGATGAGGCTGGCTCCTCCCTAGAGCCTCACGGGGTATATTCTATAGTAGCTGTAGATAAGTTGAGTCTGGCGAGATTCTGTCTATTAGGTGCGGGCTAATAAAGGAACAGAACTGCAGTGGATTGCCTCGTCGCCGTTCTTGGGCTGACCCTCATCAACATCAGAATTCCCGTGCTGGCTGGGGAATTCTGGGAGTTGAAGTCCGCCCGTCTTAAAGTTGCCACGGTTGAGGAACCCTGTGCTAAATGATAGCACTAACCAAGGTTAGCCCTGGCCAAGACGGGTGTGGTGCACAGCTTGAGTAGCCCCAGGTGTGTGTGTTGTGTGAACCCAGCCAAGCAGAAGAGGGGGTGGGGGAGAGGCCCCCTTTGCACCCCAAACACAAGCCTTTGGATTGACCTCTGGGTGAGTGCCCGTAATGTTCCACAGCCAGAGGATGGGAGGGTCACCATAAGCCTCCACCAAAGGACGGGCCCCCAAGTTAATGCTAGCAAAGGTTTGTTTGGAGAGGAGATCCAGGGTTTGAAGCAGAAGACGGAGTGGCGGGGATGACTGGGCGCTCTCGCACGGAAGATGTCTCTTTGGGGCCCCACAAAATGTTTGAATTTAGATGAGAGAGTTTAGTGCAGGCAGGCTGTGGTCCTAGCAGCCCTGGGATGGAGGGGGGGCAGGGGGTAAAAGAAGCCCCTTTCTGGACAAAAAGTCCAGCAGATGGCACCCTCTCCCTGCCAAGATGGAAAATCCGGAGCGGGTGCTTCCCAGTTCCATTTCCAAAAGACTGGCTCTGAACTGAGATCTCATTGACCTCTGGATGGTTGGCCTTAAAAAAAGTAACCCCTCCTTGTATCAAAGACGTTGGACTAAGGAGGGGAGCGCTGTGGATCTGAGCCCCAGAAGATGGCACGCTGAGGTCCTGCGTGCCCTGACGTCACTGTGCAAATGATGCCAACGATGCACTTTGTGGTGATGACAAGAGGCACATGGCTGTGCTCTGTGCCTGGCTATGCCCTGGATGCAAGTCAGGCCAGGATCCAAAAATTGGCTTTCTGCTGAGCCAGGTGGGCCTGTCTGAACAAGCCATCTTTGTCATCTACAGTTGTTGGGTTCACACAGTGGGCCAAGCCAAAGCAAAACCACCTGTGTTGTGACTGCATTTGCATGGCACACTTAACAAGCTGGCAACAGCCCAGCCTTGGCTAGAAAAAGTTTGGCCAAACAAGGGCACCAGTTTTGGGATTTTAATACGCCAGTTGGTCCTCTCCGGAACAAAAGAAACAACTCGTTTTTCTCAAAACATGCTAAACTGGGCTGAAACAAACTTGGGTACAGGGTGGATTAGCATGTTGTGGGAATGCAACCATTGCCTTGACATGCTTTGAAGAAGCCCAGTGGGAGTCACTTAGCCATATCATTGAGTTCAGACACCTAGCTTAACCTTGGTTTACTGAATAAACTTGGCTAAGTTAAAGCTAAACAAACCGTATCTATGTGACCTGCCAACGAGAGTCTTCTGGATTGCAGTGGGAGAAAAACCAGCTTTAATTTGTAATGAAATATTATGCCTTAGCATTCTGTGCAAAAATCGCCAGTGAGCATCCTTGTATGATGCAGGAACACCTGTGCCGGTTCTAGCATGATGTCTGAATCTGGCGCCTGAGTTACGGTATAGTTCAGGGGAAGTGCTTTAATCCAGATGGAAACCATGATTTATTATAGGTTTACTCAGCTAAAGCTCAGCCCAGCCTGACGTCTGAACTAGGCTGGTTGGTTTAATCCGAGGCTTCTGAGCCCAGGAGGAAGAATAAATCCCAAAATGGGCAGAGTCCTTTTAAACGTTCTTGAGACGGGAGGGGACAGGCAGCGGAGGAGTTGACCGTGGGACCAGTGCGAGCCCCCGGGCGCTGCGTTGCAAATCCCAGATCTCGAGAAAGGCCCCAAAGCTTGCGCTGGCCCAGCGGTTTCCCACAAGCTAACGCAGAGAACGAGCCACTTCCTCCGGGCAGTCGCCAGAGCGGAAGAGAAGGAGGGAGACGGCTCGGCTCCTTCCCTTTGAACGGCCGAAGCCGTGGGCCTGGCCGTGCGGCATCAAAGCGTCCGGCCCCGCAGAGGAAGCACCACAGGCACTCCTGGAGGGGAAGACCCCTGGCTGCACCTCCCGGGAGAATAATAAATTTGTTTAAAGAATTGTGGCGTGCTTTAAAGTTTCCTTTTACAGGGACCAGGGAGGGGTCTCCCTGACAGCCATTTTAGCAGGGGGAACCAAACAGAGACCAAGGCTGCCGTCGGCAAAGGGGAAACAGCAGCTTCTGGGCATCTCCACGGGTCGGTGCGTCCACTTCTGGTAGATGAAGTCCAGCCTCCAGTTGGATTGTGGGTAACTCCACGGACAAGGCCAGGCAGCTTTCTTCGCAACAGTGCCGAAGTGGTTTGCCTTTTCTGTGGTTATTTTTTCCAACTTCCTAGTCCTTGGGATTTCCTAGTGGTCTCCCATCCACACCCAAGCCAGGTGTGATCCTCCTCCTCCTTCAAGATTGGCTCAGGTGGCCTGGATTCTGCTGCTGCTGAGACTTTTCTTACACGAATGTCCTGCTTTTCCACCAGTAGCGGTTTGCAGAGAGGCACTGCTCATTTTATCCCCCTAACTACACCCCTTTGAGGTTGGTTAGGGGGACAGAATGAGACTTAGTTTCTCAGCAGTTTTCACCCACAATTTTGAGTCCTGCCTTCGGGATGGGTAACGATCCATGTTCTGCAAATGCAGAACGGCCAAGTTTTCAGAGGGGGGATTTGCTAACAAACCCAGCCTATTAGTGAGGTGGCTCCCTTATTGTGAACATCCTTTTATTCTCTATTCTATTTTGATTTTCATATTTTTAATGCATTTCTTGACCGTGTTGAGCTCTGTGGTACGCTGCCCAGAGTCCCCTGTGGTGAGATGGGCGGCTATATAAATGGGTTTAATAAATAACATGAATAAATAAATACTGGGCGAGGGCGGAACGTGGATTGCTCCAGGCCCCAGCCTTTTCCATGGATCGATGGGACGTTGTGGACTCAGAATATGAGTGAAGTTCATCAGCAGGACTTCTGACCCTCCAGGTCATTGACGGCCTTAAAACCGGACAATGCTTGTTGCAACTACAGGAGGCAAGATTTGCTGGCCTGGAATGGAATGGAATGGATGCTGGCTAATTCAGCTCCTAGCAGGAGCAAACCTGGGAAAAATTACACGCCTGTCTTCGGAGGAAATCTCCCCAAGTTCCGACCAGAGGCCCGGACTGTGCATAAACCGTGCAAGATTAAGAAGAACGGGGGAATCCCGCAAACACCTTTGTTCTCCCCTGGAACAAATGGGTTGGAGGTCATCTGTCAGTTGGGGGTCCTCCGAGCCCTTCCAGGTCAGGCTAGCAGAGGGGAGACAGGTGGGCAGACTGACAGGAGCCCCCCACCCCGTGCAAGATTAATAATGCCAGCCACCCCCCTTTTCCCCCCCTGCAGATATCCCACCAGCGTTCTTCCCTGGTTGGAATATCTTGCTGTATGGAAAGGGTACATAGACGTATCTGTGGAATTCGCCCCTACAAGATGGGGTCTCCAGCAAAGATGAGCTGAGAATAGGATTAGATCAATTTAGGGATCAACTCGCAGTAATCTTATCCTGGCTGAGTTTGATCAAGCGATGGGAGTCAAACAGGCAACGCTTTGAGGATATTGTAGAGCCATGTTTCTCAACCTGGGCAACTTTAAGAGATGTGGACTTCAACTCCAGGAATTCCCCAGCCAGCAGGGGAATTCTGGGAGTTGAAGTCCACATCTCTTAAAGGGGCCAAGTTGGAAAAAAGCTGATCTAAACCAAGGAGCAAGGGGGTCAAACAAAGTCAAGATGACTGCAGGATCAAAAGCTTGCCCCAATAAGGCACGATAGGAGAAGCCAACGAAAAAATGATTGAGTTTGAAAATGGGCTGGCTCCAGCTGGAGGCTGCCAAGAAAAAAAATTTGGAAAAAATTCTCGAAATCTTCCCTGGGGGAGGGGCACACTGCTCCATTCTAAGCCCCCTCCCTGCCACGTGTCATGTGACACGTATGTACCTGTCCCATTATTCCCATTGCACACATTGGCACAAACACGCACAGGTGCCGTATGGTGGGACAGCAAAGCGCACGTGGAGACGCCGCATGTTACTTCATTACACCCAAAAACATGCAGATGCTTCTTACGGTCGCTGTTGGC